CGCGCTCGGGACCCCGTCTCCGCCTCCGGCAGTTTCCGGACGTCGCCCCATGCCTTCATCGGCCCGTGGGTGGCGGCCTCCGGGACCTGTCCTGGCCTCTTCCTTCGCCTCGGCGGGTTTGGACGTCGCCCATGCCTTCATCGGCGCCGTGGTGGCGCGCTCCGGGACCCTGCCTGGCCTCATCCTCTTACGGCGGCTCACGGTTTCACCTCGACGCGGCTTCGGACGGCGCGGCCGTCTGGCCTCTCCCCTGTCCACGGCTCCTTCCTCCCGGGGATGCTGCTCCTGCTCCCCCGGGGACTGGCTCTTTTCTGCCCGACGCGAGGAGTTTTTTTTTTTTTTTTTTTTTTTTTTTTTTTTTTGGCCATGTTTTGAATTCTGGGGGGGGCTTGTGTGGTGACCACCTATTAATTACACTGGGACATCATTCATACATGGAACTAACACAGTCTGGGGCTATTGTTCCACACGGACACATGTTATGTGTTTCACTATATATGTTGTGTGCCCTCCTGACTTCACTCTCTTTTCTTCCCGGACTGCAACCGGACAACATGTCCTTTCCAGCTCTTAAATAAAGTACCCTTTACAACCATCATTGCACCCGCCCTCTGACTCCCTATCTCTCGGCACTACAACATACACATTAATGTAAATAAACAGCCAAATAACATGGATCAACGCTCTCTGTCTAATATGTTCGCTTGCTGTTAGTGTTGTTGCATAGCAACCACCTTGCACTATGTTTTGTGCAGAAGGCAACGGAGGGACTATTTATTTTTGGAACATCATTATTTACTAATAAAAACTATTTAAATTAGAGTGTGTATTTTTCTTTAAATATATTAAATATAAAGCACCCTGAATGATGTAGATGAACGTATGCTTAATGATTGCCATGCTTCCCTAAAGCCAGTAGGTGGCAGATATGCTACATTTTTATGTGTGCTACTTTACTTTGATTTACTGGTAGTGAGGCTATTCACATTTAAAACACAACCTCCAGTGGTGAATGCACTTTAAATAAGCAACTTACAGTAATAGTCCCTTAAGAACAACGTTACTACATTACATAACTACTCTTTATTTGTTCTGTTCATACCTTTGAGTGTGTTTCTTCGTACAGTTATAAGTGTGTGTTTGTACCTTAGTTTGTTGATCCAAGTTGGCATCGTGTTTGGCGAGTACTTCTGCTGCACTGACTCGGTCTTCTTGGGCAGCGAGATGCAGAGACGTCAGTCCGGTCTGTAACATACAAGACACAGTGTTGCCTTAGTGAAGGGGTCTCCAACCTTTTTTTAGGATGAGAGCTACTTTCAAAAAATAAAACAAGTCGTGGGCTACTTTTACTCCTCTTTTTTTGCAGTGTATATATTTAGCACAATTTAACATTATTATATGCTTGCCTTTAACCTGTTTGTGCTGTTTGGGTCTGTGGGGCACGTTTTCACTGTGTACTAAAAGAAAATGTATGCAAATTAATTATTTTAACCTGCTTTATTTGGGGGTTGACCTCACACCCTCTAGGGGGGTCCGGGTGCATGCCCCCCCGGGAAGATTTTTTTTTAAAGGTTGAAGTTAAAAGCATCAATCTGGTGCACTTGAGCACAACATGAATTTATGGATACAGCTCTCAACTCTCATATGAAAGGGAGCTGTATACTTTTCAATAATCCAAAAATCTTTAGAATATGATCTCAAACAATAACAAATAATTTAAACTTGTTTATTCTTATCTTATGTTACCTAGTTAGCATTCTTTCTTTTTATTTAAGCATATTTTACTAATCACTCCCCTTTTAAACTTTTTTTTTTTTTAACTGACCTATAGTACACCTTGAAATGATTTCTTACTTTATTTTTTACACCTACATTAAATAGATAAAGGTGTGCTCTCTCTAGCTCTCTCGCTCTGTCTCGCTCGCTCAGAGGCTCTATGCTCCTCCGTGGCGATGACGGCTTGAGTTAAAAAATAATAATAAACATATTTTTAAAGTAGGGGGACACAAACGGGATTTCGAAAAGTGGGGGGGACATGTCGCCCCTGTCCCTAGTGGAACTTACGCCATGTGTGTGCGTCAAGTGCAATACATATATATGCAAGTTGCAACACAGACACAGAGTAAAACTCTGCCCCTCATGTGTTGTAGGCTGGCATGATTAGGCTGTGTTGTGTAGATTCTGCCAGAAGGAAAATCACGGTCAAACTCCTTAAGAAGCGGTGAGGCGGCGCTCCACATTGCTTTTCTTCCCGCCTGCAACGCTGGTCCCGCAAATCAAGCAAGAACGTGATTGGTCGATATTTATTGTGGGGGGTGGGGGGAAGTTAGATAGATATAGAGTTGTAGTAAGTAGATAGAGTTCGCTATGATTGAGGTTTCGTTTATGCATAGGGTAGATTATTTTAATTACATTTCCTTTTTTTTTGTGTGTGTATTTTTACATTTTGGATTTGCTTGGCGAGCTACTTATTGAGGGCTTGTGAGCTACCGGTAGCTCGCGATCGACGTGTTGGAGACCCGTGCCTTAGTGTAACACTACAGAAAAACCTGTAACTTAATCCCTGTTGACATTGAATGATATTCTTATGTCCTGTGAATATTTGAGAACTAAATGGTGCTACCCTTCATGATAGATAGTAGTGTCTAATAAAAATCTAAACAAGGGTCAAGCAGAAGTATGAAAGTGTGTCTTTGTTTTTTTGTGACCTTGTTGCCTGTGTTGACGTGAGCTCCTTTGCCCAGCAGCAGGCTGGCCATCTCAGCATGTCCTTCCTGGGCTGCCAGGTGTAGCGGGCTGACTCCCTGCTTGGTCAGAACGTTGGTCTCTGCTTCATACTGCAGCAGTGCTAAAGCAATTTTTGTCTGGTTCTTTTTGGCTGCGATATGGAGAGGAGTGTAGCCATTCTGGAAAGAGAGGAAGGTGAACAGTTACATGGAATACAACACAACTCCATATGGCTAAAAATTAACCTATATATATTTGTTACAATATATATATATATATTGGTGTCCGAAGCACTTCTTCTTTCAAATCTTTTGTCTAACCTTTGCAGTTGTGTGAGGCGATGCTCCTTTCTCCAGCAGCAGCAGAGCTACTTCTTGGTTGTCATAATGAGCTGACACATGTAGAGGAGTCAGGCCATTCTGTAAGAAAAATAATTGGATAAATGATTCATATTTGTGTAATGGAGCAGTGTATGTTCATGGTTTGTTCTTTTTCATGTCCCTACTCATTGTCTTAATGATTCTTATTCAAAAACATAAATTGTGCTGTGACTGTCTCTACGAAATGAATAACTTTGCCCTCTTAGACCATTTCTGTGCATTTGAATATTAATTGTTCTATTCAGATAATGTGGACAACTCATCCTGATGTTTGGTTCACCTTGCCAGCGTCATCAGGGAGAGCTTTGCGTTGAAGGAGAAGTTTTGCTACATCGAGGCTCCCATACTTAGCTGCTACATGTAACGGAGTGAATCCTTTCTGTTGAGGGAAAAGGGAAACTTAGTTTTAAACCTGCATGTCCAAACTGTTGATGTCAAACTTGAGAAGAAGAATCTTGATTCAGATATTTTGCTGTCTCAGCGCATCAGGTTCGATCCCCTGCTCACCTTTGTGCCCAGTGAGTGTGAGGCTCCGGCCTCCAGAAGCACGGCAGCCGTCTCCTCTTGACCCTCTCTGGCTGAAATATGGAGGGGAGTGTAGCCGTTGGTGGTGGCAGCATCAGGATGAGCCATGTGCTGCAGCAGAAGCTGGACAATGTCAGTTTTCCCCAAACGGGACGATATGTGGAGGGGAGTCTGGTTCTCCTGTATATGATGGATAAAAAGGCATAGAGACAGGCAGAGGCAATTGTTTTAGAAAAAGATAGACACACAGCATCCAGAGCTGAGGCAGGCGACATGACCCATGAGTAGATGTACTGTATGCAACTCAGTGGAAGAAATATTGCTTATTCGTGATAGACGGATAGAAACAGGGATTAACTGTGATGATGCCACAGCTGACTCACCCTGGCTATGGCATCCACCAACGCTCCATTCCTCAGCAGACAGCGAACCACTTCCATCTGACCTGCTCGTGCTGCCATGTGGAGAGCTGTCTCGCCACGCTGATTTGCACAGACAGAATGTTTACTGTAGGAGATGCTTTGCCGAATGAAACCCCAACTTAATAGGTTGTTGCATTAGAACATCTTGTAGTGAAAAAATGATTTATATTATGCTATATCTATTTTTAACTACTGGTTACAGACAGTTAAAGAAAGTATTTTTCAGAACTCACAATGTTACGGACGTCAGGAGATGCGCCATTCTGAAGCAGTAGTAAAACAATGTTGAGGTGGCCCATGAAAGCAGCTACATGGATGGGAGTCAGACCAGACTAGAGAAAGAGAGAGACAGACAGGAAGATGAGCATACAGAAAAGTGTGCATTTAAAGTTTCTATTTTCAGATATTCCTAAAAAGTATCTCACCTCAGTAATGGCCTGAATGGAGGCTCCATATTTGACCAACAGTTCCATCACCTTCACTCTGTTCTTCTTACAGGCAATGTGGAGAGGAGTGAAACCATTCTGATAGAGAGGGCAACAGAGAAATAAACCGATAAATACTATGTTTACATACATATGAAGTTGGAAATGTAGTTTCATTACATTTTTGCCAGTTGTTTGATTCTTGCATGTGATTTGGTACCCCTCGGGGCCATTTAAATACTTAGTTATAACATGGTAATAATTGTGTATTGGTAAATGACCACAGAATTTTACAGTAACACTGTATGACATCTTTTCACTATTTTTGTATATGTACAATTGTTATTTCCTGTTTATCCCTACCAGTGCTCGAATATTGGGATTTGCTTTCTTGTCCAGCAGAAGTTTGGTGACTCTGTAGTGGCCGCAGTGAGCTGCAACATGCAGCGCTGTAAGGTAGTCGAGTGTGACATCATCAACAGGCGCCTTGTGCTGCAACAGGAATTTGACACACTCTACGTGGTCTCCCTGGGCTGACATGTGTAGTGGGGACAGTCCGTTCTGTGTAAGCACAAAGGTAGTAGATTGAAAAGCTAGTACACTTGAAGAAAGAGATGAGAAGTAAAACAAGTAGAAAGCATGTGCACTAAATTAAATGAAAATCCTTTGTTATTTTGATCATAGAAAAATTACACTTTCAAATTCTGGGGTATGCTGATCGATCAATTGTGCGGCCATAAAGTACCTTGGTTCTGGCTAAGATGGGAGCTCCTCTCTCCAGCAGAATTTCCACTGCTGGGTCATGTCCACTCCTGGCTGCACAGTGCAGAGGGGTCAGCCCATCCTGTGAGAAAATCACACATACGAGGCACAAACACATAAATATAAACAAGTGTAGACATTAATCCAGTTTGTGTGTTTTGACAGAGAGAGGAAATTGACTAGGAAGTGGGTGCAGAAATTAGAACATTTAATGAACGCTGGTGTCCAGTCTCACCCTGGTTTTGGCATCTATCTGACTCCCACGGTCCAACAGCAGGGCCACCATGTTGGTGTTGCCCCTCTTGGAGGCCACATGGAGAGGTGTTATTCCATTCTGACAAGGGAGGCAAAAAGGCACAAAAGTTAACTTTAGCCGAATAAATATTCAATTCACACGGTAAAGTATCATTTAAATCCCATTAAAATTCCACATCACATGGAAAGTCCTACAATCTATTTAATAATAGTTGGTATGGTTTTAGTCTGTCTGTTTCTGAGTTGAGGGTAGTAATAGACAGTTACATCACTTATTAACCAAGTGCATCCAAAGAAACTTGAACTAACTTCATGGACCAATTTCAAGAAATCAATGCATCTGACAACATGCAAAACAAATGCAATCTTTGACAGGCTCAGAGAAAATGCAGTTAAAAAAGGAAATAAAGACTAAAAGGAAACGTTATATGCTTTATGCTAAACTGTAAACATTCTGCTCTGCAAGCCTCAAAGTAAAAAGACAAGTGTCAATAAAAGAAAATATCTTGGTATGGTTTATTAAGTGTAAATGGGGCTATACCCTGGCTGTGAAGTCCACAGCAGCTCCTCTGTTCAGCAACAGGGTGGAGACATTCACGTTACCATAGTGAGCCGCGATGTGCAGAGGGGTAAACCCGCTCTGCTTGAGACGGACAAAGAGAGAGGAAAGGAGGAGAGAGTGAGAGGGAAAAGAAACAGCGGTTGAGAAAAATGGAAAAAAGTAGCAAAAGAAAAGCAAAGTTGGATATGAGAAAAAAGTAAAATAGAATAAATCAGGTCACGAAAGAAATAATAAAATAAATAAAGTGATATAAAGAAAGCAAGACAAATCAAAAAGCAAGAATCACCAGATTGTTCAGCAAATAAATCTGACTTTACTGAAGCAGTATTACACAAAGGCCGCATGCTGAAAAAAAGAACTAGACACATTGATGTAAGAAGAAGTATAAAAAACGGGCATGCCTCAAAATAGCACAGGCAATACATAATGCATGCAGAAACCCTGTAAGTCAACCATGCCTGCTGAAAAAATCAAACGGTGAAGAAATCAAAGCACTTAGATTTTTGAAAACCGAGGTTCCAACATAAAGACATTACAAATCCAAACTTCAATACACCATGCAACTATGCGCTATGTGTATCTGCTTGCACGGACAAATGGACATTTATATATAAGCCATATATATAAATATCTACAGTGCACTGTTGCAGGTGTGTTCACTCCTTACCTTCCCATTCTGATAGACATGATGCATTTAAAAAACAGAGTTAACTTAAAGATCAATAACGTGTGTCAGACAGGAAAAACAATGCTAACAACGTGCTTTAAAGTACACATGCTGAATGTTATGCAGAGATAAAGCACTAAATAAAAGGGATACATGATTTAAAGGTCACCTATTATGCAAAATCCACTTTTTCCTGTCTTTTATACATTAACATGTGTCCCCTCTGTGTAAGGAGATTCTGAAAGTTTCAGGAAAAAAGATTCTCTCTCTTTTTGTCCTGATCCATGTTTTGGCTTGTGTAGCCATTAGCCAATCACCAACCAAGGTAACACCCCCCACCTTATCACCTGAATCTCCTCCTAGAGCACCATTGTGGTTTTTTTAGTCCAAATTTCTTGCAAAGGGGAGTGGCTCCTTATTTTTATCTAAAGTAACAGACAGAGAATCAGCACTTTTGAAACAGGGCTGAAACAGAGGGGATTATGGGATGCTATAATGATCTGTTTGGTATTTCAAGCTAAACACTTCAGAGACATGTTTTGTATATATCTGAGACCCATAATATATTGATGAAAAACCGTATAATAGGAGACCTTTAAATACTTTTAGTGTTTCAAAATATTGAGAGCTAATACATTTTTAAGAATGATTCATTAAGTACAATCAAAAAGTGTTAATTAAAATATAATAAACTAACATTCTCTGGAATCTATTAATACAACACAATGCTTTTAACTTCAGCCATGCGGGAATGTGTAGTACAGCTGCATGCACTCAGATTATCGGTGCATAGGGCCTAGTTGTATGAGGAAAATATCAGGACAAAAAAGCTGAAAGGAATTAAAGGAGTCTGTATACCTCTGTGGTTCTATTGACCATCATCTGGTTAGGACGCATTGAGAAAGGATAGGAATAGGATGTAGGGTTGTTAGGAAAGGGACTTGTCACAAAAATCACAGGGTACATTCAAAGGGACACACACATAGAAAACCAGAAGCACATTTGTGTACCAACAAACCATTCTGAGAGAAGCTCTGTACATTAATACTATCAAAGTCTTGAATTGAATTATGTATTTGTTTCTTTATTTGTTGGTTTATTTATCTGTTTATTTATTTATTTTTTGTTTTGTTTGTTTTTCAATAACAAATGTATTTCTTTAAAAAAAATATATATATATATATACTGTATATATGTTAATAATTTAGTTTTGGGGAGAAGGGGTGGGATTTAATAAGTGTAAAATTCTTCCCACCCCTTTTCGGATGTGTAATTAAGTAGGTCATTTGTTTATACATATAATTTAGAATCAGTAATATTTTTGTATATCAATATGACAATGCTTAATTTTGTATTGTATAATAATTTTCATGTTACATTTTTGTATTATTGTTTTACACATTCGAAATAAATCTAATCCAATCAAAAAAATCAAAATCAATTGCAGGCAAATGAGTGCAGATGAAAAGTCAGAGGAATTATTACACACTTAGTCCTGCTTCCTTCTTTTCCTCCTTCCCTCTCCCATTTTGTAATCGGAGAGGGCTTTCTGTTCTAACTCTTACTAATCTCTCTCTCCACTCCAATTTGACATTTCACATAGACCCTCCTTCTTCCTCCATTAGATTCTTCCTCGTCGCTTTTCCTCACCTTGGACTGGACGTCAGCGTTGTGGTCGTTCTGCAGCAGCAGTGCGGCAGACTTGGTGTCGTCTTTGCGGGCTGCTATATGCAGGGCAGGGAGGCGGACCTTGCCCTTGGTGTCATGCTCCAACAGCAGGGAGACCACAGAGTCGTGGCCCTGCTGGAGCGCGATGGCCAGAGGAGTGAAACCATCCTGGAGAAGAAGACAAGCATAATCAAGATAGGTGAATACAATACATTTGAATAAAAGAAAAAAGGGAAATAGGGGCATTCATTTACCTCAGTTGCAATGCTTTGGTTCCCTTCATTTTCCAACATGTATCGCACCACATCCAAGTGATTCTCTTGGGCTGCCATGTAGAGTGGAGTGAAGCCATTCTGTAGAGACAAACAGTTCATATGCACATACATGTAGTAGTGTAAGATCATATTCATGCTGTTGTTTTCCCTTATAGCTTTTGATCATTATGAAGCATCTCACCTGTGACTGAGTGTTGACATCTCCTCCTCTCTTCACCAGTAGTCTGACTACTTCTTCTTGTCCGGCCAATGCGGCAATATGGAGGGCAGTGTTTCCTTTCTGCAGAGAAAAAAAGGGTAACAGCTACCAGCCAAGTGTGCATCCTGTGTGGGCATAAACACTTTACTACAGCTACTTTAAAGTGATGTAGTATAAATGTGTGATGGTCAAAGAAGCCTCTGTTAATATCCCCTCTTTAAAAAAACAATGATTCCCATTCTAAATATGCCAATGACTTGATCTCAGATATGTTATTATTATTATTATTATCAAAGGCTAAATTAATGTCGATCCAAGGACAGATTCTTTGGCGGCTGTTTGCTGTTGCTAGCTGTGAGATCACTGACACATTAGACCAAAGAGTCACATGAGGAAGAGCTTGCCAAGAAGTTTACCATCACTCTTATCCCTGTGCCTCCTTCCAGTAAATCTAGAATATTTAATAATAAAACTTCTTGCAGATATTAAGAGTTAATACATCTGATTTGAAAGCTGGGTAACACTTTCTATGATTCCCATGTCTATAATGCATTACAATATAAATGCAAAATAACTTTATGCGTTATAATACACCTATAATACTGTTTTATTGTATTTATAAGCACAAATTCATCTTCATAATGCTTTATAAGAAGAATCACAACACATTACAAAGCATTTTATATGGACTTATATGGTAAAGTAACATAATAATTCATTACTGAATAATCATAGCATCAGTTGCACGCCCATGTCTATAGTGTATACTATGGTTTTACAGTGCAGTACATGATTGCAATTATTATATGGTATTATTTTTCAAATTATAGATATTATAACACACTATCCTCCCAGCAAAATATTAACAAATGAGTAATTATAAAGTTGATGATAATTTTCCTTGTTTTATAGTCACTATGAAACGCTCTATAATGTGTTATGTGTGTTGTTATTAATAAGCAGTGTGTGTTAAAGGTGGGGTAGGTAAGTTTGAGAAACCGACTCGAGATACACTTTTTGTTATATTCCATGGAATGCTCTTAACATCCCGATAGCAATGAATATCTGAAGTGCTTTGACAAAAAATCCATAAAAAGATTTCATCTCTGGAAGCCGTAGTACTGTAAAAAGCGCGACCAATCATCTGAGCAGGCCCGGGTAAAATAACTGGATGCCCTACCTGCCTGTCAGCCTTCCATATGTGCACAAACTTATCTCGTGCCCTCATTGGTAATGTGCACGTTCGTGTGTGTTGGAGGAGGGGCTCTGTAAGGAAGTGGCAGATTTGTTCCGGCTGCGTATTTTCAAATTCTAGCGCACTCTAGCTGGTTTCTCCAAAATTACCTACCCCACCTCTAAGTGTGAAATTAAAGAGAAAGAAATCTAAAAATATTATCCAGAAAAGAAATTCATGTCAGACTAGATGGAGTACACGTTATTGGGAATATATAAAATTACAAATGAACTCTCTTCACATGACTTTATTCCTCCTAAATCACCCTCAGGTCCAACACCTCTGTTGCCATTTAGATTCCATAATTCAAGACAGAAGCAGTAATTGACTTAGTACTTTACAACTGATACCACTATATATTACTTACATACATGTCCTATCCATCAACTCCCTCTTTCTGTCAGCTATCACTTTCAACCCCCCCCCCCCCCCCCCCCTCCTTACTTTTTTCCACTTCGTCCCCCATGTATAGTTAGAGATCAAACTGTGATATGTTTGTATCTAGGAAGCTGGTAGAATACAACAACTATCAACTAACATAGTCATATTTTGTGCACGTACCTTGGTGGGAGAGTCAACAGGTGCTCCTCTCTCCAACAGTTCCTCAACTAAGCCCTTGTGTCCTTCCTTTGCTGCCAGATGTAGTGCGTTGAGACCATTCTAGGGGAAACAAATAATCAACATAAGACTTCTTGAAAACACATGTCAATGAATGATAGTGAGTAACTGAGGGGTGCTCATGGAATTGAACTACAAATCTGCATACTTTGTGAAGCCTACAGTATAATGTCAAGTTTCTGAAGTCTTGTGCTTCATAATTGTATTTCTTTTTTAGTTATTTATTTTCTTTATCACTTAAAAAACGTGGCTGATCTTTCCCTCATGCAGCTTCGAGGTGAGCATCACATTGAAGGCCTCTGATCCTTTAACCAGAGCTACAGGGTAGGAGCAGCAGAGCAGGAGAATAGAGTAAACCATTTTCACACTGACAGCTCCAAAACATATCAATTCACACAACACACAGGCTTAAACATTTTCTCTGAGAAAGACATGTAAAAACACTCAGAAGAACGATTCACCTCATCCTCATCTTCTTCCATTCCGCGCTGTGTATCTCCGAAATTAAAAGAGGATCCAAAATTGGGACTTCGTTTTCATCCTGTTTACTTTTTTCGAGAAAACGTCAATCTCTTTCTGTCTTTTTTCTTTCTGTTCCCTTCGTAAGTCTTTCTTCACTGTTTTCTATGTTTTTGCCTGTTTAATGGGGCTTGAAGCTGGATTTTGACCATCAACAGCGGTCCTCTTCCCTCCTTGTTTGAATCCAAGCTTCTGGCTCGTTCTGCCTTCTTCTCCACGGCAGGCTCTACCAGTCGATTACAAGATGGGTAACAGACAAATGGCTCCTGGCTCTGAAAGCTCTTCCTGGCACTGATGTAAAAGACGAGCTGTTATGTTGCCTACACCACTATCATTCCCTCCTTCCTCCTCTTGCGCACGTTCAACACATGCACACACCCAAATGATGCACACACTCATACACTCAGTCACTCTCTATCTCTCTCTGAGTTGCCAAATGCCAAACAGCCAAAGGGGTGTCAGGTTTCTGCATAGTCACAGAGGATATGTTTGACACAACACACACACAAACATGGATACTCATATTGAGAAACTGCTGAAAATGTCAACCTTTCATAAAGGAAAAAAAGAGGGCATTCCTAAGAGGTAGTATCTAAGTAAATAATCTGGTCAAGTTCATAATATATACTGTATATGGTGTGGCATTATATGGTAACTATGAGAACCATCCTGTACAACAATAAAATACCTAAAAAGGTATTGATGTGTTTATTCAATTAATTATTTAGGAAAAGAAAATATAGCTTTAATTGCTTTATTAGCTCATTATCTCAACTCTTATCTTTCATTTATGATTATATATAACAGAGAGAAGCAGCAAATATTAAAATTAGAAGATGAAATAGAAAAAAAAAGTCAAACATGTTCACATAAAAAAATATTTTACCAGTAAATCATTGAGAACTATCAGTAAAAATGTGTAAAACAATAAGTAAATGTTTTGAAATCGTTGGGATCATCATCATCATCATCATCATCATCATCATCATCATCATCATCATCATCATCATCATCATCATCATCATCACCACCATCATCATCCTCACCATCATCCCCTCCCCCACCTATCATCCAGTGTTGGGTGTGGTCATACTGAGCTGCAGACGCTTGTCATATTCCCTATGAGAGATTTTAATCAGGTTTATGAGATTGCAATGTGGATGCCTCTAATGTCATTACTTTAGTAGATCATAAATAACATTATACAGTCCCTCAGTCTATTTTCACTGTGGTGCAAACAGGCGAGAGATTAAACAACTTCAAATGTGAGACTAGACGCTCTGTGCTGCAGTAACGCTTGCAGAGAGTTGAGGTTCGGCTCAGTTCTGAAATGGAGGACTCTGACACAGCAAGAATGATGTAATCTTATTATAGGGTTTCAATCTCATTTCCCCATTATGTATTCCAACAGAGAGACAAGTAAAACCCACAACACACACACACACACACACACACACACACACACACACACACACACACACACACACACACACACACACACACACACACACACACACACACACTCTGCTCTAAATCTGCTTTTCCTCTGAGCTGTAAGTGAAAGCTTCATTTAGCTAATGGACGTTCAGCCCAACACAGTGATCCCTGGCATTTTGTAGTGCTTTCTGGCAGGAGTGAAACAGTTGAGCTCCGTCCAACGCAGATTAAGATTTACGCCCCTATGACCCTTGACCTTTTTTATAATCACTCATGGTAAAAAAAAATGGTCACGTTTATTTGGTGTTGTTTCATAGGCCAATGGGGGAGTAATGTAAATGCGTGCAGATTAGAGAGTAATATCACTCACCAAGGATTAACATTAGGGTAGATTAGAGAAGAAGTCCAGCCTTTAATTGTGTCGACATGGAAATAAAACAGCTCACACACACATGCACACACACAAATGACACAGTTGTATGGGACAAAAACTCTCACACACGCAGATCATTTACAAAAAGATATTATATAAAAAACATGCTTGAGTATGCAATACCTTTCACTGGCTTGAGTTAGATTTATCAGTCAAGAATGTTTTTTATTTATCTTTGGACTTGGCAGATAGGGAAAGTATCTATTTTTCTCTCTCTCTATGTGTCCCTAACTTGGACAGCTCTCTTCTCTTGGCGCGCGACTTTGGCCCTGGCCACCCTGTCGCTGCTTTCTAGGATCTGACGCATAAGTGAGCAATGAACACACCGCCACGAGCAACACAGGAATCCTGTATGACTTTCCAGCGTCTCCCACTGTCTTTGAGTCCACACATGATATTACTATTGATCTATTCTATGTACAACTTTGATAAAAACATGTAAGGTTCCATTGTTTAAAGTCATAGCAGATTAATTGATTGTTACATTTAAGATTTATATAATGTATGTTGTTGCTCTCAGCCCCAACTTTATGCTGACAGTACTGTTATAGATAATGGTTCAGTAATTGTGTAGAGTGCTTTTCCACATGACTCGGATCAACTCATTTGCTTGAGAGCAATTCTGCCGCTTATCGCTGTTAATATGATACTTTTGAATCACCATCTAGCCTCCCATTACTAAGGTTGGGTTGGAAATTGGTTTCTCCTTGAGTTATCATTAAGGTTAAAATGCCATCAAATCTGGGGAAAATCTCATCACCACTTTCAGGATGCTCATAACACGGTGTGGAGAAACCAACCCCTTAGCTGCCATCAACACAACATATTAATATGGTTATTAATATGAATCGTTTCAGAAACAAGTACAGTCATACAGATTCGCCAGGGAGTAACATCAACTTAAACTGTTTAAAATCAAACCTTGACAGCAGATCAATAAACAAGTGACCATGATAACATTAAAACAGTTGTTTGACAGTATATAAGTCAACAGGTAATCAGATCCAGTTTCACTGTCTGTCACAGTCAAACAAACTGCTGAACAACATGCTGGAGGAGGGGTTTAAGCACTCGACTTGTAAGAATGTGTGTGTGTATGCCTTTAAGCTTATGTATGCATTTAAGCATGTCAGAAACTGTTTCTTTACATTCATGAAATTGGCCAATTGACTTATTGGATTACACTAACAAGAAATATTCGTTCAGGAATATGTGTAGGCCCAAGCCTTGAATTGAAGGTCAATAAAGCTTGTGGATGTTGTTTATCAGAAACAGAAGGACATTTAGGAAAATGTCACTTGTATTTTGGGCACTTTATACGGGCTCAAATGTGATCATCTGACCCCTGACAGATACTATGAAGGGCAGGGCTCTCCTGTTGCAGGGAGGGTCCTCTGTGTGTGTGTGTGTGTGTGTGTGTGTGTGTGTGTGTGTCTGTTTTTGTGAGAGAGAGTGTGTGTGTGTGTGTGTGTGTGTGTGTGTGTGTGTGTGTGTGTGTGTGTGTGTGTGTGTGTGTGTGTGTGTTGAGAGAGAGAGAGAGAGGGTGTCAAATCACAGCACTGAATAGGGCTGTGTTTTGTTTTGTTTTTGTATACTAAACAAAACCCATGGAACCCATGACAACAATTAGAGCTATGAGTGGGAGGATGCTACTTCCTGTCTGCCAACCAATTACAGACCAGTGTATAAATAATTGCTATAAAAAAAACAAAGGCACACAAACACACAGACTCACGTACTGAAAGCACACTCCACGTGCTGTTTTAAGCTACCTTGTGACTTCTGTAAATCACATTGACATGGACAGGGCAGGTGGGGTGTAGAGGGTTCTAGGGGGAAGTATTTTGCACCCTTTTAAATCCCTCCTGCTCAGTGGAATGTGGGTGAGGGTGGGTGGGAGCAGCTGTCAGAGTAGGCCCTTCAAATACAGCGGAGACTCCAGGACAGAATGAGTTTAGTGGACGGGAGTAGTAGTGGCTGTGAGGGGGGTTACGATCTTGTGAGGGCAGCCTAGCAGTTTAAAGAATGCACTGACCCAGCTCTGTTGTGTGATGCACGTGACACAGCAGAGGAGAGGTTAGACCATCAGGTCTGACCGACAGGCCAGTTAACAGCTTTGACCTACATCTGTGACGGCAGCATTTGCTGTGTGTAACTGTGGTCAATAGACCATTAAACAGAATACATGTTTGATGTGCCAAATGTAGCTGTATTTATTATTTAGAACACAGTCAATAATGTAAAAAAAAGAAAAATGTTAAAATTGTTATTTTTCCATTTGGCGGAAACGTCATTGAGAAACACCCCATGACTTTGTGACCCTACAAAGTCCATGCATTTTGTTGCTCATCGCAAATTCGACATCAAATAGTGTAAGTGGTTTCAGAGAGAGAAAAGGCATTCAAGTTTTCTTACCTGGTTACAGGTGCTAATGTCTACTCCGTTTTTCAGGAAGTCCAGGACTTTGTCAATGTTCCCCGCTCTGGCAGCCCTCAGGAAACTGGTGCTACTGTCGGACTGGAGGGATGAAAACAGCAATTTAATACATAATAATCTAACAGAATTACAAGCTTCTTTTGCATGAGGTATATAACTAATGAACTAACATTAAGGGTTATTTTCACAGTTTGGTTTTGTGTTTCTTTTTACATACCCTTCAAGTCAATTTATAAAGATAAAAGTATCTTGCTCTGGCTGTGCATGAAGGAGTGTATTTAATATAACATACTTATATAAATGGATTCACAGGATGCATGGAAGTAGGACTTCCTGCTTGCATCAAAATGTATCTGAGTAAGCTTTTCTAAATGTAACCACCAGACACTAAGGCTGCACAAGCAGCTGCAACACACACACACCCCACACACACTGTTTTAAATGTTTTGCCGCATTTATGTTGATGTACCCGCTGAATTTTAGGTTAACCTTAGTATGAGAGCTGACATGTTGATAGTAACAATGTAGTGAGAGCACATAACATTTTGAACCACAGAAGTAATCAAATAGATTATTTGAAATAATAATAAAGGAAAACACAAAATAAAATATTACATTACATTACATTGCATTTAGCTGACGCTTTAAACCAAAGCGACTTACAATAAGTGCGTTCGACCAACAAAGTACAAACTTGAAGAAAACAGAATCATATAAGTACATATATGAATGGTGATATAAGTAAACAAGTAGGGTAAAATACAGATCACATTTTAAAGATGTCCAGGTCGAATCTAATATAAAGTCTGAGTTAATTTTCCCAAATAGTTTTTTGGACCAAAAAACACAAAAACAAAAAACAAACAATCAGTTTACTAGCACATACATACTGTACATACTGTGTATGTGCTAGTAAACTGATTGTTTGTTTTTTTTGACTCAAGAGAGTAGGAATATTTAGTAGTTTTTCTCTGGATACGTCAATATCAACTAATAATGAACATTTACGCTTATGCTATTTATTAATAAAATGTATGGATCTACTGTTCTAGTACACAATTGTCACAAAACGTTTGCAAAGGAATACTGGCCGTATTGATTCAACAGTGTTGACAATGTTTTAGATTCTAGGGATAAGACTGCAGCGTGTCAATCAAACACAACCGGGTGTTAACTCGTAAGGTCAGCACAATCGAACTCTTCATCAGATGCCTGCAACGAGGCCAAACCCCTGTAGAGGATCAAGTCAGACACTTCACAAGCAATGTCACCATGACCAAGCTCACACAGCTACAAACGCTCCCCACAGCAAAGGGATTAATAACAACAAGCTTTGTTGAACACTTCCTCAATGTAACAGAAAGCCTGAAAGCTCTCTCTCCACCTCTTACCAGTGAATCATCAACTTCAGATCCAGAGTCAGTTTTTCCGTAGTAGTCAGTGTGATGTTTTAAATCGTTGTCACTCCCAGTGGTCTTCAAACCTTTTTCTGTTCCACAGGCCTTACATGTTGCTGCGTTTCCCATGGTAACAATCCAAATCGGTGTATAACTTCCAAGCGATAACCAAAAGCGGTGGCCTTTCTTAACTCACTCCGCTCACTGTATGGTCCAATCTTTGTAGTGTCTCACTTTGCGTCCTCAGGTAAAAGCCTCTCCTGCCCACTTCTTAACCACATCAATCAATTTTACAATCCATTAAATTGGTCCATGATGCCTGCCAAATCTCAATTACTTCCCTATTACCAACACTCTTTCCCCTCTCTGTGCTCTTGTATCCCTTAACCCTGTAAAAAGTCTTCTTGGTGTGGACTGAGTCTATCCAAGGCCCTATCTTGCCCACTACTCCTCTAGCTCTACCTTGACCCTCACTGTCTCTCCCGCATTAGCTATTTTTACGATTCCAGACCCTCTCTCCAATGCAGACCACAACCCCTTGCTGTGTACCCTGGGTGGGGAACATGACAGCTGGTTTTGGGTCAGGCTGGAGACCCCATGGGCTGTGATGCTCTCCAGGAATGCTAAGGGTAATAATGGAGTGACAGAAGTTGAACCTGAACACAGTCGTAAGATCAGATCACACGGACCACTCAAATCATTTTTCACTATTACGGAATGTGTAAAATGTAAGGTATGCAGACATAGTTCAGATGTGCATGAGGCTTTATGAACACATGCCTTCATGGCTATAATTGCAGAATATTCTAGATGCTGGTTTATATTTCAGATAATATATCAGTATGTCTCTTTAGAATATAAATTCAAATGCACATTATAATAGACTTGCAAACGTGTATGTTTGTAAAGTCACATATGCTTTTGCTGTCTTGATCATTTCTTTGAACACACCCCAAACAGAGATTGGATTGATTGGAAACCAGCTGTAATCTCTGTATCTGTACTGGATTTGATCTGCAGTCGGTCATGTAATAGAGGATGCTGGATTACACACTGTATGGTGTCTGTGCATTGGAGGAACACCAAATCTCTACTGGGCCATTAGCAGTCATAAGCAAAAATAATAGTAAAACAATAATTGAGTCATTAAAACACAATTCTCTTACGAACTTTTTTCGCTACCTTTTTTTTTTTTTTTTTCTCCTTGATGAACTTTAAACAATAACCAACGTATTATTTTATCCTAAATATTACCAGAAGGTTGCTCCGAACAAGGTCATGCCACCAGCATGTGACCACCTTACTGAGCGAGAGCTTTTTTTCTCACATCTGTCATCTACTCCACATTCATCCATGTCCCTCACAGTTCAAAACACATCATCTGAGAGGGCAGCAACCACACCACTGTATGATCAACCACATCCACATCTGTGCAACCAGTACAACTCACACACAATGTCCTATGAAAGTATACTAATAAGCCAAAAAGCACGCGGGTTGTTAAAATGTTCGGAGAACAAAAACTTGACACAATATACTTTTGACAGAGAATTATGTGCGTTTTACCTGCTTCCTTCGCTCGGCTCTCTCACGGTGCCGTTTTCTCCTCTCCCTGGTTTTCTCTAGAGCTCTGTACTCTGGATTTGCCTCAAGCTCGCGAGCTTTCTTCAGATGGGCCGCAGCATGGGCCATGATGAATAAACCTTTCTACTTCTTTCCGTCTCAAAATAAAGTTTCACTAGGTCCTAAAGTTTCACTTTATTGACTTTCGTCTTTTCGTGGAAAGTGGAACACTTAGTACCACATAATACACTTAACCTTTGCAGATACCAAAAAACTGTTTTTCTGTATGAATTTTAAAAAGTAGTTTACAAAATGCTGTTTAAAAACAGTGCCAATTTAGATGAAAAGGTAAAGTATCTGTATATCAATATTACAAGTTGAACATAAACCCACCTATAGATTACTTTTCATCTAAATCTAAAAAGCAAAGATAATGAAGTGGCTCCATAAAATGATCCTGTCATCGTTCTCTTCTGAGGACAAAGTTCAGGAGGACAATCCGTCAAAGTCCCGCCACATCAAGCCCGAAAGCAGCTACTGGATTTCCAGAACCTCAAACAAACCACATTTGAAGGTCCACACATCCATAAATTCCAATTGTAATCAACCATTCACATGAATGGGAAAACACATGAGAGAGGAATATGACAACTGGGTAGAGTTTCTGAATAATGAGAGTAAGACCCAATCGCACACACACACACCCACACGTACACTCAGGGAATGACCCAGTCCAGATGTACATGAAAACCCTACTCCATGCGAACAGATGTGACTACAAAGTGTGTGCGTGTGTGCGTGTACCGTATGTGTGTGTGTGTGTGTGTGTGTGTGTGTGTGTGTGTGTGTGTGTGTGTGTGTGTGTGTGTGTGTGTGTGTGTGTGTGTGTCCATTTAGGAGTCAGATTACATTGAGAGGGTGCTCTAAAGAGAGTTGATGCAAGCTCTTGTTTCTCTTGTTTTAGTGGATCTTGTACGTGGGGAGGGCTTAATGGTCCTATTTTATAGATCCCAATGCTTTTATAAGGTCCATTAGGATCATATGATGCACGGATATCGAAGATGCAGGGACCAGAGTCATGAACCCTGCACCTTCCTGTTAATTTGCTTCAAACTTCCAACTGTGAGTAGATGCAAGGTTGGTGTGAATATTGCCATGTATTTTACCATGTGTGTGCTCAAACAAGTTTCACAAAATCCATGTTTTTTTCTTTGTCTTTTGTGATTTTCCAGCGAAACACACTGAGAATGCAAACATTCTGTATTCAGTGCTTGCTCTAAATTCTAACATCAAACAAAAGAAATGCACCAACAACAAAAAAAGAAAGTTATACATCTTCATCGTGATGGATTGCCGATTCCAAATGTGCCTGTCCCTGCAAGTTTATTTTCATATCATCATAGGCTGAAATGAACTGGTGGCTGCAGGATAATGCATTATTAATTTTATGCTTTGGATCAGCACAAGTAAATCATTTGAAGTAAATTAGCTAAAACATACAAACACACTGGTATATCTCATCCCTGTGCTCCGGGGAGTCACTATCTATTTGTTTTAGCTGTTCTGGTTGTTTTGGGCATTGCTCCTGTTGTTTATGATTTGTCTACCTACTAATGGAGCTTTATTGCTGACCAGTGGGGTTCGCCAGTGGTGAAAGTCTGGCAGGTTATAATGCATCTGAGATTTCATGCAGGAAGGATCTTTATTTTTCAGATGACTCATTTAGAAGTCTTTAACAATGTTCAACCCCCTCCCAGCTGCTGCTCACTGAGAAATGCTAGTATGCATTAGTGCTTACATCTATTTTGTTAAAGTGATCCATTAGGCCTATGTTAACGTGGTAAGTAAGTGTGTCAGTGACTGAAGGTCTTCCTGGAAGTAATACAGTTGAAAGGACTACATTTGAATCATCAACAACTACTAAGGCAGTACAGTGGACTGGAAGGCTTAAACCAGAAAACCCAGCTACTCCACATGCTTAAGTACAGTTTCCATTACAATCAACCCACATTTGGAGTTTGTCAAAGGGCCGGGAGATCTTGGCGAAGAAAATTCTTGAACTGAAGACAAGAAAAACAATGCCAACTTCTTACACGTACAGAAATGTTATGCTCAGAGATG